TATAATGGGTTTTCATGTTTTTGAATCATTGCTCCGGCCTGACAGGGCATCATCACAATATGGTAGGGGCTTAACATTTCCGTCACACGCTTGAGGTATTCGGCCAATCACAACGCACTGGATAGCTGGCCAATCAGAGCACACCTCGCTTTTCTTTTTTTCTTTTTTTTTACACCTTGCTTTTCAGAACAATGAGAACAATGAGCTTTGTAAAAATAGACGCGTTTCAGAAAGGCGGGGCATAGAGAAACAATAACGTACAGTATGTGGAAAATAATGTGTTTTTTTAACTTTAAACTGCATAAACACATTTCATTACACCAAATACACAAAATAATGTTCTTGTTAGCAACGTCATATGACCCCTTTAATTAATAAGCAAGAACACCCATGGACACAAATATGACAAATTTAATGTATTTGGATGAATACTGCCATTTATAATATGACATATATTTAAAGTCGTTTAACAAGCATTTTAATAATTAAAAATGTAACACTGAAAAGTAAAGTATTTTAATCTAAGTGTATTCAACTGTTCTCTGTTATCTCTTTTCACTGAAATAGTGCAGATTCTCAAAATCTGAGCCGGTGATAGGCTGCTGTTCAAATAATGTTATTTTTAGCAACATCATATGACCCCTTTAATCCAATATAAACCAAAAACGTATGATTACAGAACAGTAACAAATTGGATATAATAATCGATGAACATATGCAGCATATGGCCAGTAGATGGCAGTGCGACAAAGAAATTAAATCGGTAGAGCAGCAAAAACAAAATTTAAGAGTTACAAAGTGTGTGGGGCGTAATGGCGAGGGGAAAAGATCAGCAAAAAGATGAGAGTTAATCACTTTTTTGCATTACTAAATTACTTTTTGACAAGACTACAATATGACGAGATATAGAAAATAATTTTAAAAATATATTATTTTATTAACGGAAATTATTGAAGAGAAAGTGTTTTGGAAAAAAAATTGGCAGCGAGCACAGACTGTATAGACAATATGTATAGACAATATGTGAACAAATAATATATATTCAATACACAAAATATTGAGTTTTTGTATTATCATGTTGTTGTGTATTAGTACTCATTTCAATTTTTATAATGGAATTTTCCCTCAGGAAAATTGAGTTATGTCGGTTGCACTTGCAGCTGGTGGCCAGCGGGGGGGCAGAAACACTCCATTAATCTATCCAAACCATAGACCGATCCAAACCCGTTTAAACTCCAGCAGCGCTCCATCGTTTCAGAGAGCACGCCCGCAATAAAGCTCTTTCACTGAGCCGGAGAGGATGATGATGAGGGTTAGGATGAAGCTCGTGATGATGAGGAGGGAGCGCATGAGGGAGCTTCCTGTCGCCGCGTGATGACGTCGGCCGGCTCCCTGTATTGTTTTGACTCGGATATTTTTCCTGTCTAAAATTCCTGAAAGATCGCGCGAAAAACACGTTAAAGACGCGATTTTACACCCGATTTCAGCCTCAGATCAAACTACAGGTGAGATGATTGATGTCTATCAGGTTTTGAATGATTGTAATGCATCTGTTAGATAATGAGTCTTTACGATCTTCTTTACCAATCTTATAGAAAGTACAATTATTGTATGGTAATACTACGGTACCAAACACTTGCAGCTGGTGGCCAGCGGGGGGCAGAAACACTCCATTAATCTATCCAAACCATAGACCGATCCAAACCCTTTAAACTCCAGCAGCGCTCCATCGTTTCAGAGAGCACGCCCGCAATAAAGCTCTTTCACTGAGCCGGAGAGGATGATGATGAGGGTTAGGATGAAGCTCGTGATGATGAGGAGGGAGCGCATGAGGGAGCTTCCTGTCGCCGCGTGATGACGTCGGCCGGCTCCCTGTATTGTTTTGACTCGGATATTTTTCCTGTCTAAAATTCCTGAAAGATCGCGCGAAAAACACGTTAAAGACGCGATTTTACACCCGATTTCAGCCTCAGATCAAACTACAGGTGAGATGATTGATGTCTATCAGGTTTTGAATGATTGTAATGCATCTGTTAGATAATGAGTCTTTACGATCTTCTTTACCAATCTTATAGAAAGTACAATTATTGTATGGTAATACTACGGTACCAAATTATTATTATATGAATTTACAATAGTACTTCAAATAATTATTACCGTTAACATAACAATAACTAGTAATAAGAAGACCATGGTACATGTCCAAAAAATATGGTATTAATGGTACTGTATTCATAAAACCATGGTAATACCAATAATTTTAGTAAAGTACATTACACTCCAAAAAACAGATAGAATATATATATATATATATAACCTTTTATTTTTATACTTGTTTTATATTTTTATTT